ATTTAGCTCTGATGATGGGCTATCCATCAGGTTAACCAATGCACCCCCCCAAAAAAAGACCCCCATCCAAACCACTACAATTTTGGGATGCATCTAGTAGCATGACATTTATTAGGAATAAAGACCTCTGAGTTCTGGTGCATTTGTGCATGCGGGGGTCATTATGTTACCAATATGCAGTATTTCTATCAATAACGTGTTTTCTTTGTCTCTCTTCCAGATGTAGGTGCACCTGGACCAGTCCTGTGTCTCTTTCCTGTCCCTAAACCCAGCCGGTCGAGGCAGATGGCCGCCTGGTTCTGGTTCTGCTGGAGGTTTCTTCCTGTGAAAGGGAGTTTTTCYTCTCCACWGTCACCACTGTGCTGCTCAGGATGGAGACTGTGACGAAGTGATTCAACACAATCTGCTGGCTTCTTTAGATTGATTGATTGGTGTGTACAGTGCACACAGACAGCAATGGTTGTGACTTGGTGCTTATTATTAAACTGAACTGAATTTTTGTTGACTTGAGGTTTGAAAAGATTTAGAAATTGTTAACGATCAATATTTTTAGGATGTCCAACTGTATAAAACTAAAACTGACAGGAGGTGGACCTTTTTTCTTACAATTGTTTTTTAAATATGAAGACAGCTTTGATCTGTTTCTCTTTTTCTTTTAAAGCAGCTTTATAAAACCAACATGTGAACAGGACTGTTGAGACGTCAACAAAAACACATCCTGCTCTGACCTCTGTGATAACGGCCAGCTCCCCCACTCCGTTCCAGTCCACTTCATAGATGTCTTTAAGTGTCTGGGACAGGCGTCTCGATGTCTCGTGCACAGCTGCGAAAAAGGTCAATTTGAGTACAAATGTGCAAATATTAGTGTGAACCGAGGTCACTAAATGTTTTCACCACACAAGGAAYCTTTAGGCATTGTTGTGTCTGAGGGTTTATAGGGCTGTAACCACAGAAATTCACAACATTCTTGTTTCCCGACTGGAAACTGTGGTTTTGACAGTGTGAATCAAACATGCAGTGATGTGTCTGTTGCTTCCATCTGCGTGATTTTAGCTTGTTCTTGTAAAACTGGACAACACAGGCRAAAGTTAGGGCATTAAAGGGAACAAGAAACTCACTTTGTCAGTTTCCATTGCTTTCTCAARCAAAGCCTGGTGCTGTGTAATCACACTGCTTTGTGCTTGGATACAGTGTGTTGGATACAGACTCACCTTTCACTGCTGCATAGTAGGCTTTGACATCTTTAAACAACCGGTTTCCATCACTCTTTTGGGAAAGCAACATGAAAAAAGAGAAGTTACAGTAAGTTTAGTGACACCCAATATCTGTACGGATGAGGTCAGCAGTTTTTTCATTGGCTCATCGGCGACCTAAATGATAGTGTGTCCTTGTGCTGACTGCTTGATTTTAGTGAGACTATTTATTTTTTATCAATTCACACAAGATTAGAATATTGAACAAAACAAAAGTCACCTCGGAGGGTTTAGAAAAATCACAGGAACTAGTGATGTATAAGTGAAGTGAAAGTAGCATATCTTGCTGTAAAGTAGATTTCCTTCCTGTTGTTCATCTACACTCTCCCTCCAGTATAAAGTAGTTGTACATGTTTATATGTAAGAGGTCTTGACAACTTAAAGTTAACATGGAAGTATTGCTTAACAGAAAGCAGTGATACCATGTACAAATTAAAAAACACTAACCAAGTGTCACCGAAGAAAATGAGCAACTAGGTCAAATTAAACGAACACATTTTGATTGATAGTTTGCCTCTCTTTGCAAACATTAGAAAGTAAGCTAACAGTCAACACGATCACAGTCAGGACATAAAAGCAAACTTTCTTAAAGATGCAAAGAAATGTTTTGTCTGTCTGTCTGTCTGTCTGTCTTCATAATACAAAAATATCCCATTAACCACTGAGAAAATTTCAGCAAAACTTGACAAAAGTAATCTTTGAACTGACATTTACAACCAAACACCTCTCAAAGAATCTGATTCAGATTTTGATCTCAAGGCCAAACATGTCTGAACTTATGGTAGTTTCAGGTTGCAACATGTAAAACTCAATAAATCTCTAATTACCAGGGGATATTTACTCAAATTTGCTTTTCTGCAGCTCTCGCTGGAGCGGTTCGCGGCCGAGTGCGAAGCGGCCGGGATGAGGCTCAGTGCCTCCAAATC